ATTATTGGTGATTTATTGTTACTAAGTATATATTGCAGATCTGTTTCAAATTATTGAAACATCAGAATGAGAAATATTTTGGATAATGACTGATTTCTTATTTAGACAACAATGTAGGATTTTAAAAAATTGAACAAGCATCAATTGGGATTTCAAACTAATAACCTTTACTTGCAAGAGACAGAAATTCACTTTTTTATATGAAGAGAAACATAAAGAAAGTTAAATGATCAAGCAATGTCCCTCTATACAAATTGAATTATGCCATTAATTAATTAATTTGGTATAGCTATATGTAATTCAAAGAGAGATTCAAATCAACATATAAGTGTAAACCTCTACATTTCACAGGTTATTTTGGATATTACTTATTGAATTTGGGTATTTTTGTAAGTTTCCTGTAAATGTGAATGTGTATACACATTAATAGTGACATGAAAAAACTGAGAGTAAACTCTTATCACAAAATTTATCCAGGTGTCTTCCCTTGGAGAGTAGCAAACAAATAAATGGAACCTGCACAATTAACATAACTGAATGTTCTGATAAATTTAATTAAAAAACAAAATATATATAAGGCACATATCACTATTTTATATTTTAATAGAAGTGGTGTATTATGGACAGTATTGGTTAATATTAATTAACTAATTGAGTTAGCATTAGCTAATATTAATGACCACATTTTCCAAATAATCAAGAAATCTTTAAGGTAGGTTGTCAATTCAGATATATTGAAAACATAGTAATAAGGGAAAATTGACCAAAGACAGAATATACCTCTTAGGGAATGTCATATATGAAACCAATAACATGCAGAATTAATATAAGCGTTTAAAAAGTAAAGAAAATCACAGCAAAAGTCACATGTATATTGTTTTTTAAATTGCTTGTATAAGGCTAGAGTATATAAATATTGTAAATAACAATGAACAGACATTAAGATAAATTGGACATAGAAACATCACATTACTCAATTAAAAAGGCTAACAATATTCTTTCTTTTGAAAAATTTTTGTCGTACATTCTGTATGCAAGAAAATGGACAAAATTTATCTTTTGGAATTTGAATTATTTTGTTTAACATGTTGATCTCCAGTTCCACCCATTTTCACATAAGTAACATAATTTAATTTTGTGGGGTACTGGGGTTTGATCTCAGGGCCTCATGCTTGCTAGGCAGGCACTGTACTCATTGAGCCACTTTGGCATCTCTTATTGCTCTTGCAAACTCTTTGCCTGGGCTGGCTTTGAACTATATCTTCATGATCTCTGCATCCTGAGTAGCTAGGATTACAGGCGTTAGCCACTGGTGCACAACAAAGGACGCAATTCATATTTTGGCTACTGTGAAGATGGCTACAATAAAGATGTGTGTGTACTTATTTCTGTACTATAATGATAACATGCACTAACGTTTTTGCCAAGAAGTAGTAAATCAGCATGTTATGGCATTTATATTTTTAGTTTTTGTGGAAAGTCCATATTGAATAACATAGTGGATGCATTCATTTGCCTGTTGTTGATCTGACAAATGATTAATACCCAGAGTATATGAAGAGCTCAAAAAATTAAAAACCAAATCAACAAATAATCATTAGTTAGTTCAGTAAGACTTTTTAAAAAATGCTTGGGTGCATTGTATTATTCCTGTATTTTTTTTCTTCTGCATTTATTTCTGATTTAAATCATACTGTTATCTGAGAACATAGAAATTTGGACTTGCTTTGAGGTAGCTGAAGTAGGACAGTTGCAGTACATGTAAGAGGCCAGATTGATGAGAAAATATATTAACATTGTAAATGAAGCTTAGCACTTTAATCTTGTTTTTGATAGTTTCTCGAAACTAAATTCCACAACTGTAAATAAGGGTTTATGAGAAGAAAAATTAAACACTATACGCCACCTTTTCAAAAAGTCAAGGGGGAAAAGTACATAAAAGTCATAGGCAGCAAATATATTACTGAATTAAAGGCTGATACAAATAAACCTATATGAAATTTGAAAGTCAGGATATTAATATTTCATTATATATTCCTCTGACAGTAAAATGGCAACATCTATTGTCAGTGATGTTGAAAGACCATGTGAGTTAATATAAACTATATTTATGGAAATTTGAAGTCTACCCATGACAAAAAGAGAAGATATAAACATATATATATAGATAGATTACAAATAATATAAATCTAATAAAGTTGTAAACCCACATATGTATATATAAATCCTCATATATATATTTATACACACATATATATGTGTACATATGTGTGTATAAATCTGTCTACATATAGGAATATGTATATATATAATATATGAGAAAAGATTAGATAGACAGATAGTTTTCTGAATTTAGGCTCTTGTGCTTGCTACACAAATGCTCTACCACTTGAACCATATCCCCAATCCTTTTTGCTTTTAGTTGTTTTTCAGATCAGGTCTCACTTTCCCCAGCCTCAGACCATGATATTCCTACTTCTTTCTTCCAGGTAACCGGGATTACAGTTATTTTATCCCATAACTGGCTTTTTCTGTGAGACAGGGCCTTGGTAACTTTGTACGTGGGCTGTCCTTCAAATAAGATACTCCTATTTCTTTCTCCCAAGTAGCTGGGGTTAGAAGCTTGTGCCTAGAAACTTGTCAGTGATGCTTTTGATATTACTTATGAAGGAAAAGTATACACATGTAATAATGACATACATATTTTTGCTTGGGCAAACAAGGTAGGTAACTGTTAGCAAAAGCAAATGTGCATCAATTTGAAAAAATATAACTATCCTCCAACCACATGTTGTATAGAAATTTTTACTTTTGTGATATGGAGAAATGCACAACAATTTTGAATGAATTTTCATATCAATAAACTTAAAAATTAAATTATGTCAGGTAATATAGTAGAGAAAGTGTAAATGTAGGTGCGTGTATTCATACACAGAGTTAAATCCACACAGATTAAATTCATTTATTTCATGGAAAGGGTATTACATTTTATACTACTATATTTACTTTTCATATTATATCTTAAGAAAATTGATCTTCATTTCCCCCATCAAAATGGTAATAAACTCAGTTGTGACTTTAAGATTATATAGAAATGAAAAAAGTAAATAGTACACATCATTTACACTTAAGTAAGAAAAGATCTGAAAACTTATATGTTGGACAGTAATTTCTTCCTCCTTTTTTCTCATTAATTTTAGCAGTCCTTGCAACCTGGGATTTCATGGACCAATTGTAGTGAAAGTGTCTGTGCATTGAGTCTCAAAGTAACATGAAGTCAAAATCCTCCTGTCTTTCAGGCCTTGTTTACATCTCCTTATATATGGCTCTACTTCTACAAGCTCCTCATTTGCATGTATCCAGAAGAGCTTTTTTGCAACTGTATTCTTATCAATGCCTGTGCACAGAACTTGTGACCTCGACGGGCAGTGGCGTGGAATCTTTAAATTGGCACTTCTTTGACATGATCCAGCAAAGTATCAGCGTAGCCCAGAAGTGATGAGGGAAATGATAGCATGGGATTGACAATTAAAACTGTGTTTCATCGGGAGAAGCAATTTGTGGTGGTAGCCAAATGGGAAGAACAGTATAAAAATCTTTAGTTATAAAATCAGATTTTGTGGTTTTAATTAAGTTGAAGGTAAAAAAATGTATTTCAAAATTCTTTCCACTCACAAAATTCTAATTCTTAGAAATTCTACTTCTTGACCCATAGCATCAAAAAGTGGGACGTTCTGAACATTCCAAAAGGACTATATAGTTAGTCACGAGAATAGGAGAATGATGCCAGCAAATAGAACAACATGAGCTGTTACTGAGGGTTTCCCAAACTCTAGGCACAGAGCAATGTCCTCCATGTTACTTGCTTCACTTCTTGTGCCTCATTCTCCCCTCATTAAAAGTGCTTTATTATTATTATCTCTCATAAAAAGAAAGAACACATTTTAAAGTTTGTTCTAGCAGGTATGATAGGTATAAGATAATAAATCCATGTTTGTATCAGGCTGTCAGATTATGAGCACAGGGCATAATGCCGGGGGAATCTTGGCAGGTTGTCCCCTTGAAAATCTAGAAGCATTTCATTGTACTTTCACTCCAGGAATAGACATGTTATTACCTGTTCTTTTTTGTGTAAATCATGGTACATCACAGAACTGAGTAGTAAGTGGCACACACTCATTTTCTGTAGGAACGCTAGCTAGAGATCAGACAAAGATTACAGAAAGTATAAGGACACAGTAATTCAGCACAGGCATCTCTCCTGCCACCACTGTAGAATATTCTTTCAATTTCTCACAAAATTACCCCTTGTTGTTTTAGTCTACACAGTAGCAAAAGGAGGCCCAGGGTTAGGATTTGATTAATTTCTTATTTCGTAAACCGAACAGAGTTCAAAATTATACCTGAACTGACCTTTTTGCTTAAGAGCTCCAAATTTCTACTTAAAACTTTCTTTGTGTTATTAAATAACAAACAAAGAGTGCATTGGTCAAAGTGTAACAATTAATTTTGCATCCTGGAAGCTTCTCTTAATATTGTTGGTCAATCTGTAGAAATTATCGTATCTGAGTTGATTTGTTGAAGCACCATCCCTGAGAAAGGATTAAGCAGATAAGGGTACTCTATAAAGCTTTAAAGTTGATGAATGTATAAAAGATTTATAAAAGAGATATAATTATGAATAATGATAAAATTCACCTTCATCTCATTAAAATTTTTTCTGTGGCCTAAAGTTATTGGTTTTTATATTTCTGTAACAGAATCCTGAATATGTTACTCTTGTGCTTATATATGTATACACAATGTATACAGAAATGTATCACTAGCTTTATTTCGTTTCTGATTCTTAAGTACCAGTAATTTGACACAGCAGAGGAAGCAAGAAGAAAAAATTGTTTATTCAACATTAAATAGATTCTGTCTTATATCACAAAGCATTTCTTAAAACACTGTGGTTTCAACAAACTTCTCTTTTTCTGTCTTCACTGTTCTCCTTTTAGGCGTAGCCTATAGAATCAGACAGAAGATCAAACAGCTCTTATTTGTGTTTATATCATGGCCAAAAGAGCCATGTACTCCATTTAACATCGTCCTCATTAGTTCATATGGTATGCTGCATAGTCGCTCAAGCGGGCTCAAGTGACCCACCTGCTTAGAAAGGTCAAGGCCCTGAGTTAGATCCACAGTACTGTCCAAAATGAGTTTTAATTAGGTGTGTAGCAATTGGAATCATGCTGGCATACAAATATTTCAAAATTGAAAACTTTTTCATAGCTGTGTAATTTATAAGTTCTTGTGCAAATATTACTATGTGCTTATCTGTCAATACTGTCAATATACATATCCTGCATTTCTGATAATAATAATAGTTAATATGTACAGGCTATTTTATAAATACTAGAAAATATGTTCAGATATTGGTCTCAAATCTGGTTGTAATAAACAACACAAGAAGGCCAGGCATGTTGACTCAAGCCTGTAGTATTCCTAGCTACTCAGGAGGCAGAGATAAGGTGGATTGCAGTTCAAGGCAGCCTGGGGAAAATGTTTGCAAGACTCCATCTCAATCAATGGTTGAACACTTTGCCATGTGCCTGTCATCCCCATCTGGACAGGAAAGCACAAATAGGAAGATCACCTGGGTATAAATCAAGCCCTATCTCAAAAATAACTAACACAAAAAGGGCTTATGGAGTGGTTTTAGTGGTAGAATAACTGCCTAACAAGAACAAGACCTTGAGTTCAACCCCTACTGCCTCCAAAAATAAAAAAATAACACAAGAATTTCAAATATACATTTTCTGATTAAATTGGATTTGGTTTGAGACCAGAGGGTCTTGATATTTAGAAACACAAGTTATGCAATTTAGAATATTTTATATACTCTATTATGATAGCCATACAAATGAATTAATTATTACTCAAAATTTACAAGTGATGGAGGATTACATCATTTACAATCTTATTTACATTATTTTCTGTGATTTCTCTTTTAGGTGTGTTTTATGTATGGTTATTTTATGTAGTTCTCTGTATTCCATATACATTTAAACTGTACTGTGTATTGACATTGAAACTACACTACAAATAAGACACTTGCAATCTGTTTATCAGGAAAGACTGACGTGATAATATTTTAGTTAGAAATAAGAATGGAACTCATACCTAGCTTTTGGATCTTATCATGGTGCTAAACTATTCAAATCTAAGGAAGAATTTCTGTGATCAGGAAAAAGATGAAGTGTATCAGAACACTACTACATTGCATGAAACAAAGTAAATAAGTAAACATCTGTCTTTCCTGCATTTACATTTTATTGTGTAGTTTGTAGTTAAATCAACCTGCACAGAAGTAAAGAAGTCAGGCTATGCTTATCATTTTTTCAAGATTTTCAGTTGGTGTAGTGTGCAGTAATGCCATGCTTATGTTCAGAGTATCATCATGTTGTGTCATATGACCCTCTTTCTAAAATTGAAGTTAACTGAACCATGGATAAGAGTTATATATTAAATATCTTAAAAATAAACAAACAGGTTTTCAGTAAGAAGTTACATCTTTGAAGAGATGAATATAAAAAACTGAAAAATGATGACAATGTCCTGGTAGACAACTTGGAACCAGAATATTAATTATCAGATAATGAACTATTAACATTTTCTTAGTGTCCAGACAAGATACCCCTATAATATTAATAAATACTCTCATTAAGGAACTTATACAATTTTTCTTGGAACAAATAAGGCCTATTTAATTCTTCTTGATTTCTTTGAATTAGAGCTTTGTTCTAAAAGATGGTAGATATATATATTATTCTACAATTTTGTACTTTTGTTAATTCTAAAGTTCTTTGGCCTTTTAGGATCCAGGTGAGTGACTATAAATCATGTGAATAGAAGGAAGTGGGTATCAAAGAATTCAATAATGAAGTAATTCAAGAATATTCAGTTTAATAGAGCTGAAAAATATTGCTTAACGTTTTGTACTTCAAATGTGAACTCTTTACTTGTGAATACTTCAAACTATCTACAGATTCCTGAATGCATGTTTGTTTGATTTTGCAATAAATTCTCTCTTCCAAAAGGCATCCAAGGGCTACAAAAAGACCAAATATAACATGTGTCTCAGAATTCCATCTCATGGGTTTCTCAGAGGTTCCAGAACTTCAACCCATCCTGTTTAGCCTGTTAGTGTCCATGTACTTGGGCACAGTGCTTGGCAACATGCTCATCATCCTGGCAATCAGCTCTGACTACCACCTCCACACCCCCATGTACTTTTTCCTCTACAACCTGGCCTTGGATGACATTGGTTTTAGCTCCACCACAGTCCCAAAGATGATCGTGAACATTCAAACTCAGAGCAGAGTCATCTCTTATGTGGGCTGCCTCACTCAGATGTCTCTTTTCCTCCTGTTTGGAAGTATGGATGACATGCTTCTGACTGTGATGGCTTATGATCGGTTTGTGGCAATCTGTCACCCCCTGCATTACACAGTCATTATGAACCCCCGCCTCTGTGTCTTGTTACTTTTCAGTGTGTTTCTTCATTAGCCTGTTCAACGTGCTGCTGCACAATTTGATTGTGTTACAATCTTCCTGCTTCAAGGACGTAGAAATATCTAATTTCTTGTGTCACCCTTCTGAGGTTCTTAACCTTTCCTGTTTTGATATCTTAATCAAAAATATAATCACATATTTTATTGGTTCCATATTTGGCTTTTTCCCCATCTCAGGGATCTTTTTCTCTTACTACAAAATTGTTTCTTCTGTTCTAAAAATCCCATCAGCAAGTGGGAGGTATAAAGCATTCTCTACCTGTGGGTCTCACCTGTCAGTAGTTTGCTTGTTTTATGGAACAGGCACGGGAGTGTACCTTGGTTCATCTGTATCACATTCTCCCAGCAAAGGAATGGTGGCCACATTTATGTATGCTGTGGTCACCCCAATGCTGAATCCTTTCATCTATAGCCTGAGGAACAGGGATATAAATAGAGCCCTGAAGATGCTCCATTTTAGATAGTATAATCACACCAAACCTGGGATTTTCTTTTAATGTGTAGGCTACAAAATGCAGCAAAAGTAAACAGATTCATATTCACATCAATTTAATCTTTAATGTCTCTGATTTTTTTTCTTCATGTTTTATACAAGAATGGTGGTTAATGAGTTTCTGGTGGTAGAATTGGGTGCAAAGTGTCATTTGGAGAAAGTGGAATTTTATGGCAAAAAATGATGATGCATGCAAAGCAATATGCATGTAATTAATGTAAATGTAGTGTACACTTAAAATGGTTAAATTGCTAAATTTATACAAATGTATGTGTATATATATAGTAAAAATAGACACAAAAATAAGAATTTTTAATAATAGGGAAGTAAAAAAATAATAATAGATACAAGTTTCCTTCAAATTAAAAAGAAGTTCCAGAATTTAGTGGACATTCATTTTTCTCTTGTTCTTCCTCCATTATTATTAAGAATCCCTTAAGGAATGGTATAATATAGAAGTATATAGATACTTATGAGATCTTTGCATTGAGTCTCCAATGTCATGCAATAGCAATTGATCAGTCTGTTCCTCCAGTCTTTCATTGTGATAGCTTTGCTTCAATTCGGTTCTTACCTGTGTCACCTCCTCCTTTATGTGTCTGCAACAATAGGTTTTATTGGACATTGTGTTTCTTCAACAATAAGGATAAGGACTGATCCTTTATTGGGTTTGAGGCAAGTATGTCATATGTGATTTCAAGATTTTGGTCATGCCTCAAGCAGAGACATCCCATTCCAACAAGTGCAGAATGTGAGGAAGTATGGATGACTATTGGAATGACAGTTTTGCCATCATGAGGACAGTATGAAAATATGTATAGCACAATGGAAGAAAATATTGTAGCTATATGCAGTGGAGTATCATTCATCCATAAAATATGAAATTATGTCCTTTGAAGGAAAATGAATTGAACTGGAGGTCATCATGCTAAGTTAAATAAGCCAAACTCAGTAAGCCAAATATCTGATGTTTTCTCTCATATGGAGAACCGAGATTTTAAAAAATGTCATGAAAGTAAAAGAGGGAGTAGTTGGGAGGGGGAAGGTGGAAACAGCTAGAGGTGGGAGAGGAAAAGAGAGGGTAATTGTGTGTGAATATGATGAAAGTATATTTTATGCATTTATGAAAAGGACAAAATGAAAGACATTTTTCCCTTTTTGTATTGTTGTGCTTGGTCAGTTACATTGTGGTATTTATAGAAGTTCTTACAATATATCAGATATATCATATTTGAATGAATCCCCTCCATACTTCCTCTTTGTACCCACTCACCCCATGCATGGAACAGTATCAACAGATATCATTTTTCCATGTGTGTACATGTGTACACAGCATTTCATCTTCCTACACCTTTTCCCCACATCCTCCCCTCTCCCACTGGTAGGATGTGTACATTTTCCCTGATATAATATAAGAAAAGAAAAAAGAAGATGAAAAAAATGTTATTTTTGTTGTTGAAGATAGCTACAAATGGAGTTTCCTTGTGGCACTTCCATGATTTGATTTACCTCCATTTTTCTTCTTTCTACCTTAATCCCTTTCTTATGGTAGTTTCAAATGGTTTTAAAATTCTATTTTCATTCTTGTATAGAGAATACATTAAATCCACTTTAAGGTTCACAAAAAAGTTTAAAACAGAGAAGCAGAAACATTAGGGGAGCTATATTATTAAATGTTCTTATTTTCTTTCTTTTTTTTTTGCTATTATAACATATAAATTGTACAAGGGGATATATTCTGGTATTCATATATGTGCTTACAATATACCTTAAATTCATCCCATCCATCCTTTTTTCTCATTCTCTTTTCCTACCTTCTTAGAACAATTTCAATAGGTTTCATTATTCTATTTTCATATATGAATATTAAATATATAGGCCATATTCAACCTCATTCATTCTTTCCTTATGTCTTCACCCTTTCCATTGGTACCCATCCTTGGGCAGGAACTGCTTTGCTTTCCTGCCTTTCATTTCTTTTAACAATTGTTTATTGATAGTCTAAAAGGTTTCACCTTGGTATAACACACACACATGCACACACACACATACACACACATATATATAATGCTTTTATATTATATATAATATTTATCATATACATATATCATGCTTTAATCATATTAACTTCTCTCTTACTTTTGTTTCTCTGCTTCCTTATTATTCAACAGTTTATAATGCATTGTGTCATGCTATCTTCATACAGAGATGAAATGTTTCAACAGTTTTCATTATTTAACATTGTCTTTTCCTCTCCTACATCTGGAAGTTCTCTTGGGCATGTATTTTTGTACTTGCATAAACTGGTGCTAACTTTTAAACTTATTTTAATTTCAAGGCTGTGATATATCTGTCTAATACCTGTCATTCTGCACACTAGACAGTCTCACAGAACATAATTGACTTTAGTCATTTTAGTCTATGAGCACAGTTTTATTTCACATTGAACATTTCAGAGTTCAATTAATGCTGAGTTGGAGCTTTGAGCTTTTAGTTATAAGTCACAGACTCTGAAGAAAAATAATGAAATATTTTTCCTTTCATACTTTTAAAATCCAAAGAAAGTTATGTTTTAGACACTTAGTCTTAATATATCTGAAACTGTTTTCATCATTCTCCTAGAAATTTATATAATCTCTATATTTTTATATGAAAAGAACCATCAGCTCAGTCAAATTGACTGCATGAGATTTTCTAATCTAAGTTTGGACCACTCTGACTTAAACTCCCAATTGATGTTCAACAAACAAAATGATATCAGTGTTGTTTAGTTATATGAATTTGTTAAATATGACTGGTTTCTCACGATGGTTGCCTCTTTGCTTTCTTGAAGTTCATCAAGGTATCCTCTGTATAAATGTTTGGCAACTTCATGGGAATTCTGAGGAATGTACTGTGTTAGTAAAGAAAAAACATTACCTGCTCCAAATAGGTAGTAAGGGCAACTCCACTGTCACAATTTTACTACTTGCATTTGGACAATGTACACACATACACTGATGTTAATGCATATCTAAATTTTATAATTCAAAGGTAATTTTGCTTTAGTACACAAATTAATGTTTTCAATAAATTAAGAAGCTATCTCCTTTATGTTTTCTTTCATAGTGTAACATTGATTCAGAAAGATGAAATTTATCCTTGACACAACAGCAAATTTTTCTATTGAAAAATTTGTATGATTATGTATCCTAACTCAAATTCTGCTCTTAAGTATTTAATTTCTATTTTCTTACAAGATGAAGTTTAATGACTTCAGAGGACATTTAAAAAAATCTTGTTTAACTACAAAGGAAAATTCATTACCAAGATATTCTGGGTAATTAAGTTTTACTGACTGAATAATGAAGTTGGGTAAAATGTTCACTTTCTTTAAATTCTTTTAGTTTCTTTAATTCTGGCTAGAAGGGTTTCTGATAAGTTAAGGTCACCACTGAAAAGAAGAGTACCATGAGTCTTATTTTTTTTCCCAACTACATTTACTTTGTATTCAGCTTCTTTTTATTCTTATTTCTTAATACAATAAACTTCTGAGCTTCATTCTTTTTCTTTTGCTCGTACTTGGTTTTGAACTGAGGGCCTCATACTTGCTAGGCAGACACTCTATCTCTCGAGCCATACTTCTAGCAATTTTTGTTGAGATGGGGGCTCCCTAACTTTTCCTTGAACTATGATCCTCCCAATCTCCATCTCCTGAGTAACTGGGATTACAGATGTGAGCAAGTGCACCTGACCTTCTTGGGTTGTGTTACGGTAGAATTTGCAAAAGACTTTCTGGTATAATTTGGAAAGTGTGTTTTGAACTCCCAAAAGAATATACACATCACTGATGGTATTGTATTAATGTTAGCCTTTATCTATGTACTCTCATTGTGTAGTACCAAAGCACATGTCAATTTTTAGATAGTGCAAGTGTTTCCCTAGCATATTTTTATTGAGAAAGGAAAGTAAATACGTTTTCTGGAGCTTAATTTTACATGGTAATATAAGATGCAGGTTTTGTAGACATTATTATTTAAATAGCAGTTGTTTTCATCTAAGTTTAATATTTAGATCACATTAAATTGGAATTAAATTTAGAAATTCTCTTTACAGTTTCAGGATCATCTATAAGAAATTAATAAATTGGTTTAAATTTCATAAGTAGTTCCATTACCCTGAGCAAGTTAAATGTATGCTATAAAGAAATACCCCTAAGTGTGACCTATTTTTTATTCTTGTATTTCATTGTTTAGGTGTCTATTCAATGGTCAGTGGAATTTTTGCCTTGGTATTATACCTGTACATGCACTGTGCTTATTTCAGTGTAACCCCTCTCCACTGCACTTCCTTGTTCTTTTACCCTATCCTGTGTTAACAGTTTTCTCCTTGTTTCCTTGTATCTTGTTTCTACATAGATGTGACATATTTCATTATCATTTGCTATTTTTCTTTCCTTCTTTTCCTTCTTACCTGGTCTCCTCTACCAGTCCCAATTTTGGATATATATTCTGTATGTATTTGCATGTATATATTACATTATTTGTATTTGACTTGGACCTATATTCCAGATATGAGAGAAAACATGCAGCCTTTGGCTTATAAGTCACACTAGGGGAAGGAGGTGTTAAAAGAAGGAGGGAAAGAAAGTGAATATGGTTGATGTATTTTCTATACAAGAATGAACATAGAAGTTTCAAATCTCTTAAACTTACCAGTAGGGAACTAAGGTAGAAAGGAGAAAAACGTAGGGCATGAAGCAATTTTGGATACAATACATACAAATATGAAATGTCCAAAGGAAACTCTTGTGCAGATATCTTTAAAAAATGTCTTTTGTTATCTCGAAAATGGAAGAGAGGAACGTAAATCAGGTCCTTTCTGGAGGTTGGTAGCATTGGGAGCAGGGAAGATAAAAGGAATAAATGAAGGAGGCTAAAGGTAGTAGAAATATTATGTTCTGAGGTATGAAAATGGAAAATTGAGACTTGT